TTTGTCACCTAAATCAGAAGGCTAGTGCGGTGTGCTCTGAGTGACTGCATTGCTTTGTGCACTGTGCGTGGGCATACAATGGACGGCAGTACACTGTCACTGCTGCTGCACCATGTGAGGACTAGAGCAGCGGGGATGAAAAGGTTGACAATACACTGTCACGGCTGTTGCAGGTGTAAACGTGCCTTTCAGGTGCTTTTTTATTGAAAATAAGTAGGTGAAACATGTGAAACAGAGCAAACACCCATCAACACCACCCACCAACAGAGCAAACACCCATCAACACCACCCACCAGCAGAGCAAACACCCATCAACAGCACCCACCAGCAGAGCAAACACCCATCAACAGCACCCACCAACAGAGCAAACACCCATCAACACCACCCACCAACAGAGCCAACACCCATCAACACCACCCACCAACAGAGCAAACACCCATCAACACCACCCACCAACAGAGCAAACACCCATTAACACCACCCACCAACAGAGCAAACACCCATCAACACCACCCACCAACAGAGCAAACACCCATCAACAGCACCCACCAACAGAGCAAACACCCATCAACACCACCCACCAACAGAGCCAACACCCATCAACACCACCCACCAACAGAGCAAACACCCATCAACACCACCCACCAACAGAGCAAACACCCATTAACACCACCCACCAACAGAGCAAACACCCATCAACACCACCCACCAACAGAGCAAACACCCATCAACAGCACCCACCAACAGAGCAAACACCCGCCAATGCACTCACCGATACCAAAGCAGCTGAAGGAACGGAAGGGATACGTGGTTATGTTACTGTTCATCAATGCATGCATTCATCAAGGAAGAGAAGAACGGGGTAAGAGAAATGCAGAGCACATAAGAGCGCGGAAGTGAGGGAGCGGAGCAACTGGAGTGAGTAAGTTGCTGCATTGTGGTGAGCACAAAATCTAATCAGCTAAGGGACATGGCATGCAAGGGAAGGAGGGGGAGTGAAGGATACAACCGATTACAATGTCACATACAACAGGTGTTTGCACAGGTCCGCATTGGGCATGCATGTTTGCACAATGGGTGCGCAATAGGCGTGCGCCATGTGGGTGGGCGGGTGCATCTTCGTGGGTGCAGTGCGGTGCTGGTGCTGCCGTGCCATGCGCGTGCCTATGCGTGTTGTCACATGAACGATGCACATGTACTCTGCCAGGCATGCATGCATCACGCATGCGCTCTGGTACACAAGCATGTGATGTGCTCTGTCTGTCACGCATGCTTGAATGAAACTATTCAAGATCCATTGCACGAAGCATATAGGTCTCCGCCCACCATGTCAAGAATGCGATGTGCTCTGATACACGAGAATGTGATGTGCTCCGTCTATCACGCATGCTTGAATAAAACTATTCAAGATCCGCTGCACTAAGCATGTAGGTCTCAGCTCAAGTCACGATGGCACGAGGTTCGAGTTGTCGTCACTTACACATAACCAATGGCACCGATTCCGGTCGGTGTTGAAGTGCCGTTATACGAAGTGTACGCTCCAGCACACCCCTCCTGGCTGTACTGGTTGAGAGCCACACACTCCCCCAGCCCTCCAGGAACCCCGTCTATGCGCAGATACGATCGCACTCTCGAGGCAACCAAGGCAGGGAGGGTGGTGCAGGCGTTGAAGTCAAGGCGCGTGGTGAAGGTGGTGGGCGTGATGGTGTAGTTGGGCTGATCGTAGAAGGTGATGCTGGTGGAGGAGACGGTGGGGGTGGCGCCTGCACGGGCAAGGGCATGCGGAGAAGCCGGCATGATGGAAGAAGGGACAGAAGGGGCGATGGAAGTCAGGATGGCAGGGGTGAAAACGGTGTTGCTAGTGGAAAGTTAACACAAGCGGGTACAAGAGAAGGGAGAGGGGTTGGCAATAGCCGGTGCAGTAAGTGTTGTTGGGCTTACCGCTGACGCAGCCGGTGCTGGTCATGCCATAGCCGGGAGGGCAGATGCAGTATGGAATGTAGCCAAAAGCAACAGTGCACGTGGCTCCTGCAGGGCAGCTCCCACATGTGGCGGGGCCTGGGGAGGGGGGGTCGTGGGGGGTTGGGGCCATGGGGAGGTGGGGACGTGGGGAGGTGGGGCCATGGGGAGGTGGGGCCATGGGGAGGTGGGGCCATGGGGAGGTGGGGCCATGGGGAGGTGGGGCCATGGGGAGGTGGGGCCATGGGGAGGTGGGGCCATGGGGAGGTGGGGCCATGGGAGGGGATTCACCGCACAGCACGACCCAGCAGCATAACAGGGCACAGCATTCCCCACCGGAGCCAACCCACGGTACAGCACAGCACAGCACATCAGAGCATTCCATGTCACAGCACAGATAGTCAGGTACAGCACAGCACATAATGAATGAATGAATGTGACAGCACAGAATGAATGTGACAGCACAGAATGAATGTGACAGCACACGATGAAGTATCGGGTTACTTTTACTTTCAAGGGTTACAGCACCGCACACACATACCAATGCACTTGTTGCTGGTACTGTTCTGATAGCCGGCCTTGCACACACAGGATGCACCGCCTGCAGAGTCTCTCACACAGTCAGTCGTGAGATCGCAGATCTTGGTCCCACACGCCTCTGCGGGAGGAGATTGGGAGGGGACTGTCATGGAAAAAAGTCACAGGAAAGTGTAAATGAGAGGGAAAGGGAGAGCAGTGGAAAGAGGAAGAGGGGTAATGGAAGAGAAAAAGAATGAGAGGGACTAAAAGGTCCTGAAAGTGCTACCTTTCTGTCTTAGTAAGGTGTGAATGCGCTGGCTCACCAGCTTGTATTGTGGGCAAGTGATTAACCTTTGCTTTGCCCACCCGAGATAACTGCGTATGTACCCTCCCAAAAACAAGGCAGAACACAGCAGCAGACATTAACAGACATCGGAACGTACCAGCACATGTCACGCCATCAGGCTGCGGAAGAAAGCCGGGTTTGCAAACACAGACCGCTGCTCCTGCACTATCTAGAATGCACGTGGTGTTCTCGCTGCAAATCTTGCTGGCGCATCGGTCTGTAGGTGAGGGGACGGCGTGTGAAAGGAAGTGAAGGGGAGTCGAGTATGACGACGCAATGCAAGCAGCAGGGATTCCCTGCCAGGGAAGGCTTATGAACTGCCATTTGCATTTGCAGTACATGCAACGCAGAAATGTGGGCATCAAAATACTGGAAAATTAGGGCGGAAGGAAACGGTGCACTGAAATGTTTTTAATCAAGTATGAAAAAAAAAAAAAAAAACTCTAAATTTCTACCTGTAGGTTGAGACACCAGCTACGGGCGAACAATGAAGCTCAGTGGCACCCTCAACACAGCAGCACTCACCGAATCAGCAGCACTCACCACCTCTCACCACCTCAGCAGCAGCACTCACAGGCACAGCAGCATTAATATTCCGCCCCATAGATCACATGAATCATGGAATGCATTGTTGCTTTCTCACCAACACAGCAGCACTCACCGATACCATTGCAGCTGAAGGAGCGGTAAGGATACCTGAGATACTTGCTGTTGCGCGTACGCATGCAGGGAGAAGAGAAAACAGGGGTGGGGGATGCATGGTACACATGGGTGGGGGTCGTGCATGCATTCCCTGCACTTCACGGCCACGTGTCGTGCTGCATGTATGTGTGTGTGTGCATGTCACGACATGTGCAAGTCCTGTGTGCGCATGTGTCATGTCTCATGCGTGCATATAACATCGCGCATTGCTTGCGATCTGAGACTCACGTAAAACCCAACCCGGTCATGCTGCTTCCGTCCGATGCACTGGGATACGACCTGTACGTTCCAACGCACCCCTCCTGCTCGTACTGGTTCAAACTCACACACTCCCCCACCTCTCCAGGAGCCCCGTCTAGCCGCCAAGTGGACCAGACTTTCAAAGCCACCGAGGCAGGGAGGGTGGTGCAGGCGTTGAAGTCAAGGCGTGTGGTGAAGGTGGTGGGTGTGATGGTGTAGCTGGGCTGATCGTAGAAGGTGATGCTGGTGGAGGAGACGGTGGGGGTGGCGCCTGAAAGGCCAAGGGCAAGGATAAGCAGAGCAGCATGGGACAGCATGGCATGGTATGGGTGCAAGAAGTTGAGCTTGAACTGATACATTGGGTAATGAGCTCAAGGCCCTGAAGTACACTGGAAATGGGCAAGGTATGGATGGAGAGGGAATGGGGGGCAATCCCAAGGTGATGGGCTGAAATCTCCAGTTGGCGGGTTGGGGATTTCGGTTGATCACATTTGGGTGGGGTTGGGATGTGTGTGTACACTCAACCAACACAAACTACAAACTACACTAATCGAGGATATAAATGATGTACAAGTACAGAAGTTGAGATTGAGGTCCAACACTAACAATGGGGACATAGAAGGCTGGGGAGATGAGAATGAAAAAAAGGTAAGGTGGGAGGGAGAAGGGTGGGTTGGTGGGGAGTCATAGAAGGTGGGGGGGATGAAAGGAGAGGAGGGTGGAACGCAGAAGGTGTGGTGGAAGAATATACAGGGACGAGGCAACGATAGCACAAGCAGAAGATAGAGGGGGGGAGATTTGTTGCTAATGGAAGCATAACACAAGGGGGTTCAACAGATGGGAAGGGGAGTTGGCGGGGAAAACAATGAAGTGAGAGCGTGCGCAGCCTCAGTGTTACGTACAGTGCAAGCAACAATCGCCATGCCTAGAACGCGCAGACGGTGCTGGGCTTACCGCTGATGCAGGCAGTGGTGGTCATGCCATGGCCGGGATGAGTTTTGAGGCGCCTCAAAGCTCACCTCTAGTACACAGTGAAAAGCCCTGGAGCTTACTGCTGATGCAGGCACTGGTGGTCATGCCATAGCCGAGATGAGTATTGAGGCTTAAAACTCACCTATATGTGATTTTTGAGTCGACTCAAATGTCACCAAAGTGAGTTTTGAGGCGCCTCAAAGCTCACCTCTAGTACACAGTGAAAAGCCTTGGGGCTTACCGCTGATGCAGCCAGTGCTGGTCATGCCATAGCCGGCAGGGCAGATGCAGTATGGAATGTAGCCGAAAGCAACAGTGCACGTGGCTCCTGCAGGGCAGCTCCCACATGTGGCGGGGCCTGGGGAGGGGGGGGAGTGGGAGGTTGGGGACGTGGGAGGTGGGGACGTGGGAGGTGGGGCCATGGGGAGGTGGGGCCATGGGGAGGTGGGGCCATGGGGAGGTGGGGCCATGGGGAGGTGGGGCCATGGGAGGTGGGGCCGTGGGAGGTGGGGCCGTGGGAGGTGGGGCCGTGGGAGGTGGGGCCGTGGGAGGTGGGGCCGTGGGAGGTGGGGAAGAGAGAGACAGCCTAGAACATACGCAGCACCAGCATGGAACAGCACAGCACAGCACAGCGCAGCACAGCACGGCACGGCACAGCACATCACAAGACATCACATCACGTTACATCACGTTACATCACATCACATCACGTTACATTACATCACATCACATCACATCACATCACATCACATCACATCACATCACATCACATCACATCGCATCGTCACATCATATACATCACATCACATCACATCACATCACATCACAGAAAGAACACAGTAACGGATCACAGAGGGAAGGACACGCAGGAGCATCGAGGGCAGTACAGAGCAGCACAATTGGAATGATGTGAGCCAACAGACGCGCAGTTGAAGTTAGAACACACACGGTGCTGCGACACGTGTCTTGAGAATTCTCGAAACACAGAGCAGCACAGAGATAAAAAGGTGTCTGTGTGTTGACAGACAACTGGAATCAGTTTAAAAGGATGCTGCACGTTCGGAATTCTTGAAAATAGCTCCCAAATGGTTGAAGTGGTGTGAAACACACAGTGTTAAAGTGACTCCCAACTTGTTTAAGGCGGAGGACACAATGTGCGCGCACCTTAAGATGCAGCAGCATGTGCAAAGAGGAAGGCACAGAACAGAACTGGCCACATACCATGTAACTAGGATGATGCGGTAACCACAAATCAGCTCAAGGCTAGAAAGATTAAGGCCAATAGAATGGCCCTTCTTTTGGGGCTTGATGACAAGATGACAATGGCATGGCACGCACCAACGCATTTGCCGGAGATGCTCTGATAGCCCGCCTTGCACACACAGGATGCACCGCCTGCAGCGTCCCTCACACAGTCAGTTGTTGGATCGCAGATCAAGGACCCACACGCCTCTGAGAGTCGAGGCAAGAGGGGAACAATACAAACGGAAGATTAAGGCAAGAGGGGAGCGATACAAACAGAAGATTAAAGCAAGAGGAGAGCGATACAAACAGAAGATTAAGGCAAGAGGGGAGCGATACAAACAGAAGATTAAGGCAAGAGGGGAGCGATACAAACAGAAGATTAAGGCAAGAGGGGAGCGATACAAACAGAAGATTAAGGCAAGAGGGGAGCGATACAAACAGAAGATTAAGGCAAGAGGGGAGCGATACAAACAGAAGATTAAGGCAAGAAGGGAGCGATACAAACAGAAAGATTAAGGCAAGAGGGGAGCGATACAAACAGAAGATTAAGGCCATAAACAGAAGAAAGGGACGGGAAGAGAGCGCGGCGAGCAGAGAAAGAACGACAAGAGAAACGGGAGCAAGAGTGACAGTGAGTGACTGTCCTGGCTCAGGTTAAGGGAATGGCCAAAAGGATACCAAGCCTTAGTTTTCAGTGGAAGGAGGGGGTTGGAGAGGGAGAAAGGCGAGGGAAGGTGGTTTGGGGGCCTAGGGGCTCTCCCTGTACTTCATCTGATTAGCATTTCCGGTGCAACAGATGCACATACCAGTGCACGTTTTGCCGTCGCCCTGCAGAAGGAATCCAGCATTACAAGCACAGAAGGCCACTCCCGTGCTGTCCTGCACGCACGTGCCGTTCCCACCACACGTGTTGGGCGCGCATTTCTCTGTGAGTGAGGAGGTGTGGGCAGGCAGAGGGAGTTTTGTGGATTGGGAGGTTGCATGACACGTGCACTGCATGACCTGAGATTTTTTTAACCTCTGCAATGAGAAGTAAGCGATAATTTAGGCACTTCCAAAAAGCCTCTGCAGCAGGAAGTAATCGAATTGTGGGTAGTTATTAAATCGTGGGCGGTTACAGATCTGTAAGTGAGATCTTTCTTTAGTCAACTCAAAAGGCGATTCACTACCTGAGGAACTGAGACAGGGGCAAACATTGGAACATGCTGGTATGGCACTCACCAACACAAGAGCACTCACCAGCACAGGAACACCCACCAACACAGGAACACCCAGCAACACAGGAACACCCACCAACACAGGAACACCCAGCAACACAGGAACACCCACCAGTGATAGAGCAGGCGAAGGAGCGGAAAGGATACCCGGGATAGTTGCTGTTGCATGGGAACGCAAAAAAACAGGCATGGGAGCAGGCAAAGGTGCGAACGTTAAACTTGGTATGCATGCAGAGATGAGTCTCAGCTCAGGTGACACCGAATCAGAGAGGATACCCGGTTAGTTGGAGGACGATTCGAGTGAGTGGGCAAGGTGGAGAGATGGCAGGCACGCACTGGGCAGGTAAGTGGGCTGAGAGAGAGACTCACGGAATACTCCCAGTGCTCATGCCGGTCCCTGGCGTGACAGGGAACAGGCTGTACGCTCCAACACACCCCGGCTGGTAGTACTGGCGGATCTCAGTGCAATCGCCCACCCCTCCAGGCGCCCGTTCCACATTGCAGTATGACTGGATGCTGGGCGCGGAGGCAGCTGTGAGGTTGGTGCAGCCATTGTAGGCGAGGCGCATGGTGTAGGCGGCGGGTGTTATGCCGAAGCTTGGGAGCGTGTAATAGGTGAAGCTTGCAGAGGAGACAGTGGGGGTGGCGCCTGGAAGGGGAAAGGAGGGAGGAGAGAAGAGGGACTTCATAAAAAAGGGCGGAGGACAACTGAAGTTAGGATGACCGAAGGTAGTGGAGGTGAGGGGTATCGATCCCCTTACCTATCGCATGCGAAGCGATCGCTCTACCATGTGAGCTAGATATCATGCCATATCCTAATACACAAATAGTTGAGGCTCCTCAAAAACAGATACCAGTGGAGTGGTAACACTTCGAATTGAACGCAGTTGCCTCCAAAAGACCCCAGATTCTACAGTTATATAAACCCAATAACAGCTGCTGATTGCATACCCACCCACCTTGCACGCAGCCAGAAGCGGTCATGCCATAACCAGGAGGGCAGGCGCAGTAGGCGGCTTTGAGGTGCCTCAAAGGAGGAAACCAGTGGAAACACGGTAGCTAGCACCTAACCTGCGGACATACCGAGCACGCAGCCAGCAGCGGTCATGCCATAACCAGGAGGGCAGGCGCAATAGGCGGCTTTGGTGTACGGCACCACTGTGCAGGTGGCTCCTGCAGGGCATACCCCACACGAGGCAGGCCCTGTGGTGGTGAGGGAGATCGGAGAGGAGAGGAGCATAGAGAGTAAGACCAGGTGCATGCAGGCGGTAAGCAACATTGCTGAACGGCACCACAGTGCAGGTGGCTCCTGCAGGGCAGACCCCACACGAGGCAGGCGCTGACACCCTGTGGTGGTGAGGGAGAAAGAGAAGGAGGATACAGAGTGAGTGGGGAACCGAGCCTGTCGGGGAACCGAGCCAGTGGGGGAACCGAGCCAGTGCACCGAGCCAAGACAGTGGAAACCGAGCTGGTGTGGCCAGTGGGAAATGAGACAAGAAAAGCAAACATGAAAACTAAGGAATGCAGGGTTCGAGTAGTAGAGAAAGAAACATACCCATGCACGTGCCCGACACGTTCTGGTAACCCGTCTTGCAAACACAGGAGGCGGCGCCTGCAGCGTCCTTCACGCAATCGGTAACCGCAGCATTGCAGCCCTTGATGGCACAGGTATCTGAAGCAGGGATGGAGGGAGAGGAATGAAACAAACGAGCCAGGCACATGAGCCATTGCAAGCAGAACAAGCAGACTCGCGACGCGAATGCAGCGCTTATAAGCATTCCTTAGAAGCCATAGAATACAGCAGCGATAAGGGTGTCACATTGCACAGCACAGCTGCACCTACCAGTGCACGTCCTGCCATCAGGCTGCAGCACGAAGCCAGTGTTGCACACGCAGGACGCCACTCCAGTTGTGCTATCCTTGATGCATCGGCCGTTACCCCCACAGGCCCTGAGTGTGCATGTGTCTGGGAGGCGAGCGAGTGTGGAAAGGGAGCAGTAAACAGACGAATTCTTCTCCTTTGTCAGCAATCATGCACAGGCCATCGGCAAAGCTTGCACATTAAAGCGAAGCCTAAGCAGTGCAGACACCAACGCGAACAAGCCTAAGCAGAAAGCAGCGCAGACAAGCATAAATTGCACACAGCGGCACATACCAGTGCACGTCCTGCCATCCGCTTCCAGCACAAAGCCAGTGTCACACACACAAGACGCCGCTCCAGTAGTGCTGTTCTTGATGCACGGGCCATTACTCCTGCATGCCTTGATTGCACATGTGTCTGTGAGGGGAGAGAGCGAGGAAAAAGATTTTGTGAACAGGAAAAGTCGTTTCTGCTCTCTATCATCAAGCATGCGCATGACTCAGCACAACACGCTCATCCGAGCCAATTCTAAGCACATAATGGCACTGCAACACGCCCAAAAGCTCATACAAGCCTACACACATAGTAGCACGAAAAAACACACAGCGGCACATACTGGTGCACGTCCTGCCATCCGCTTGCAGCACAAAGCCAGTGTCACACACGCAGGACGCCACTCCAGTAGTGCTGTCTTTGTTGCACCGACCATTCACACCACAGGTCTTGAGTGCACATGTGTCTGGGGGGTGGGAGAGAGGCATCACAGCAGCAGCGCATGGCTACTGAGTTTTGAGACTTCCCGACTGCAGCTCATCCAGTCCACATGGCTGGGGGTGGGAGAGAGGCATCACAGCAGCAGCGCATGGCTACTGAGTTTTGAGACTTCCCGACTGCAGCTCATCCAGTCCACATGGCTGGGGGTGGGAGAGAGGCATCACAGCAGCAGCGCATGGCTACTGAGTTTTGAGACTTCCCGACTGCAGCTCATCCAGTCCACATGGCTGGGGGTGGGAGAGAGGCATCACAGCAGCAGCGCATGGCTACTGAGTTTTGAGACTTCCCGACTGCAGCTCATCCAGTCCACATGGCTGGGGGTGGGAGAGAGGCATCACAGCAGCAGCGCATGGCTACTGAGGCAGCGTGAATGAAAGGAGAGAGAGCGACAGTCAATTTGAACGTGCACGAGCGTTAGGCCAACTCAACGTGGCCTAGCCTAACACATACTGCGTGGTGTTGCACATGGCATAACGCATGGCACATCACAGGGCACAGCATAAGGCATGGCACATACCGGTGCATGTGATGCCATCAGGCTGCAGCACGAAGCCAGTGTCACACACACAGGACGCCACTCCAGTAGTGCCATCCTTGATGCATGTGCCATTTCCACCACACGCCTTGAGTGCACATGCGTCTGCGAGGGGGAGAGGGAGAAGAAACACAACGCATGGCTATGATTTGCAGTACATCTGAAAGGCTTTGCCATAAATCTCTCTTGTTCTTTCAAGGTCGATTTTCGTCTGATAATGCTGGGAGGAAAACAAGATAAGGACTCATCAACGTCATCAATCAATCAAAACGAGAGTAGCTACATGGCCAACGTTTTTCTAGTTGCGCAGAATATGGCCTAGCACAGTCCGAATGACATTGCACAAGGCACGGCACGGCATGGCACGGCATGGCATGGCATGGCACATACCGGTGCACGTGACGCCATCAGGCTGCAGCACGAAGCCAGTGTCACACACACAGAACGCCACTCCTGCAGCGCTCTTCACACACTTGGCGTTACCCCCACACCTCTTGAGCACACACGTGTCTGTCAGACAGGGGGTTGGGGGGGGGGGGGGGGTGTGGGGGGGTAGGGGGGGGGGGGGGGGGGAGGGGGGGAGAGGGGGGGTATTTAAGCCACGTTTGAAAATTGTGAAAAATAACACCTCAGTAGCACACACGTGTCTGCCACGGAAGGTGGAAGAGAAAGAGGGAGCAGCGACTGCACACGTGTCTCTGTTCTGTATACCCTATGCGACAATGACAGATGGAGACACCATATCACTGTCTTTTAGCACACGCGTTGCAGCACAGACGTACGTCTCTCCCAGTGCAATTCGTCTCTCCCAGTGCATTTCGTCTCTCCCAGTGCAATTCGTCTCTCCCAGTGCATTTCGTCTCTCCCAGTGCAATTCGTCTCTCCCAGTGCAATTCGTCTCTCCCAGTGCAATTCGTCTCTCCCAGTGCATTTCGTCTCTCCCAGTGCATTTCGTCTCTCCCAGTGCATTTCATCGCAGCACAGACGTACGTACGTCTCTCCCAGTACATTTCATGCATGTCTTTTGGTCACACAGCAGCACACAGCGCACACGTGACACGCCTACCAGTGCACGTCTTCTTGTCAGCCTGCAGCACGAAGCCAGCACGACAAACACAGGACGCCACCCCAGCACTATCCTTGATGCACGTGGCGTTGCCTCCACATGCCTTGAGTGCACACGTGTCTGGGGAAAAGGGGGAGCGGAGAGGGAGTTGAACGAGGGGATACGGACGAACGACGCGTTTAGAGAATGGCTGCAAACTAGACAATACTCGATAGGATGAAGCTCTAGCAGGGCTCTTGGCACCTGACGGGGCTCCTGGCACCTGACGGGGCTCCTGGCACCTGACGGGGCTCCTGGCACCTGACGGGGCTCCTGGCACCTGACAGGGCCAAGCGAGGGCGGGGCCATATTCGCGTCAACACTCATCCCCACAGCCAGCGGGGATCATGGTGAAGCCAGTGCGTCACCAATAACCAACACAACGTCCCTCCCACTGATCTGCACCACTCACCACTCACCACCACCACCACCACCACCAGTCCTCACCACAGCACAACTCACTACAGCAGCAGTCACCACCAGCAGAACACACCAGCAGCAGTGACTCACCAACACAGCCGGTGGGCGTCATGGAGAATCCAACGTTGCAGACGCAGGTGGCGCTGCCCCTGTCCTTCACGCACACCGCATTGGCGCCACAGTTCCGCTGCACGCACGAGTCTGGCGAATATGAGGCGAAAGGAACAGAGAGGGAGGAGGGAACAGGAAGGAGGAAGGAAGCGAGTAGGAAGAGAGAGGAGGGAAGGGGTCGAAGATCGGAACGAGGAGAGGAATGGGACGGGGAGAGGGAGGAAAGCAGCGAAAAGAGGAGCACGGTTGTAAGATGAAGCATGGATAGGTGGAACGGAGAGAGCAAAGAGTGCTGGGAACAGCTCGCCTCATCAACTCTTCCCAAGGCTCGCATCCTCCGGGGTTGTTCACAAGTCTGGAAAATACTTCAAGTGTGGACGAGCCAGGAGGGGGAAATGCAAACCAACAGGGTGAATGGAAAGAGAGCAGCAGCCGGTGTCACATCCTTAAGGGTTTGAGGGCAAGAGAGCTGGCAATGGTGCGTTTCAGCAGCCCTATCAAGTGTTTCGTTTCAGCCCTGGTGTGGTGGTAAGTACAGGCTGCTGACTTACGGTCGGGGGCGTTACTCGCAGCTGGCAGGCGAACAGCAGCAGTTCTTGGCGCACAGGCTGAGAGGGATGAGGGAGAGGGCAAGGGGTGTGGGGGGGGGGGGGATGGGAGGAAATGAAAGGGAAGAGGATGAGAAATGAGGCGAACAGAAACGGCCCTGGGCGCACAGGCTGAGAGCGGATGAGGGAGAGGGGAAGGTGACAGGAGAAGGGGAATACGAAAGATAGGAAGGAGGATTAGGATGAGGCAAGGAAAGGTAGATATACCCTGGGCGCACTTGCTGAGAGCGGATGAGGGAGAGGGAGGGGGGTGAGAGAGAAAAGAGAGGAAAGAGGATGGGATGAGGGGATAAGGGAACGGCTGAAGAGGGGGGGGGTTTGGACGCACAAGTTGCACGAAAGAGCCTCTTTGAAACGAAAAAAATGATGCGGCTGGGAAATGGGGGAAAGGGGGGGAGGGGAGTTAGAGGAGGGAGGGGTAAAACTGGGGAAAGGGGAAAAAGGGGGGAGGGGACGGGGCAAAGGGGGGCGAACGAAGATGGAAGGTGCGGGTAAAGAGAAGGCGGAACGGGAATGTTTGGGGTGAAGAGCAGCTGAGCCGAGGTTGCTAAGGGCAGTGACCAACGCGGCGTCACGCGGCGTTTGGGATTGGTGGAGGAGGAGAACGTTTGTCAGGAGAAGCATCACCACTGGCAGTTTCGTGATAAACTTCAGCCAAATAATTAGACATGCATACGGTGAGACCTACTAGAGTGCACAACTGAGCATGAGAGCATACCTGAGAAGATGAGCGCATAACCACGAGCAAGAGAGCACACCTGAGAGCATGAGAGCAGCCAGTGCAGCGAACACGAGGCCAGAGCGCCGCGCCACCACGCGGCCGTGCAAACGCGCCATCATGCCTTGGTGCCTTCAAAACGATGCGGTCGATAGCGGGAGAATGGGTCAAGCAAGGAGTTCTCGCAGCAGCACAGCAGGCAACTCAGGCTCTGACGCCACTTGGAGTACAGAAGCAGCGTAAGGGCGCGTTCCTGTTACTAGCCACGTTGACGGGAATGGCGTCAGTGGGAAAGCATTTAGCTGGCGCTGCTTGCAAGGGCATGGCAGGAAATACCTTACACAGCTAACTTCGCAATGAAGCAGGACGACCAAGCGCAGATGATGGAAAAAAACTTGAAGATTGATAGAAAAGGCAACAGCTACTAGTAGTAGGACTAAATGACAGGCGCAGGAGCAGTACGGTTGGGCCGGCTGGATGCATGACAAGTAATCCGCGTGAAAATGGTACATATCAGCATCAGAATGAGGGTCTTAGTTTTGGTATCTCCAAAATAGAACCGAGGCGAAGCTGAGAAACTGGAAAGCCAAACAAGTCCAACTCAGCTTCAAGAAAACATTATCCTCGTCACAGGGACTCCCTGTTGAAAGATGATACGATGGCTGAGATTAGCTGGGTTGAGTTTGTTTGAGATTTTTGTGGTGCCTTGCTGGTGTGGACACATAGAAACGACAACGCTGATGTTGGAAGAAGCAACCAGAGTTGCTGCCGAGCTACTGCTACATCCTTACTACATGACAATGCTGCCACTTCTACAATACAGTATGCATACGCATTCTCCTGTCTGGTCATATTTTCCCCACTGCAGACAAAAATACTCTGTTTGACAAGGTCGGTCCTGATGACAGCAAGGAGCAGAAAAACTCGTGCTGACAGAAAATGCTGCTGCAGTAATTGACAAGGAGCAGATAGAAACCGATCATACTTCACAAACCGGTTAATTTTTACCATAGAACGTTGGGTTTGGGTTTCGAAAGGCCTCGAATTTTGAATCGCAAGCTACACTCTGAGTGTACTGTTCTGTATTCACTCAGAGTCCGACCAGCTTGCCTCACGGCTCAAGGACGGACGCGATTGGCGGTCCCCTCCCCAGGCATCACGTCACATGTGTGCGGTGGAGCCTTTTCAAGGAAAAATATCCGACTTGGGGTGGCGACGCGACAAATATGCTGCAACTGAAAGACGTCAGAAAATCAACCGTCACGGTGTCTCGGCTACTTTACATCCAAGGGTTGTACCAGCCTGCGAACCATGTGTTGGGCTAATTGGCCAATGAAAGTGGGAGGCGATACCTGGCTGGAGATTGTCAGAAGTTGTGGAATAACTCCGCACATCGACGTTTTCTGATTCCATGCTTTGGTTGTTCAAATCAAGGAGTCAAGCAGAACGGTTTCCAAGCAGAAAGGGGCGTTTGCTCGGCCCAGGGGTGGACCCACATGACCCGGGGGTGATCAAAGTGCTGCATAAGCTCGACGTCGAGGGATGTCGGTGAATGTCAACCTTCGGATCGAAAGTTCCAACCGTCAGGATTCACCGACATTCCTCGACGTCGAGCTGGTGCAACACTTTGATTACCCCTTTACATTGTGGGACGAGATTGTACACATGGCAGCCTCCTGGTTGTGTCCTCCTGCCAGCATGCTTTATGCATCTCTGACATCACACATCTCGTTGGTCGGTTGGGTTGTCGAAACCCTAAAATTAACTCGATCCATCTCAGACCCCAAACCATTCGTACCGTAATTCTACCTCAACCACCGCATACGTCACCTTCACGTGATACTCCCTTGATGACGGCGAGTGGATGGCGGGCGGGTAATTTTCTGCTTGAGCTGAGCTGAGTCAAATCGGTTCTGCCGGTTCCAGTTTTTGCCCGGCAAGCTTCGTTCCACCTTCAGTTTCCAGCACGAGAGAAACCGGCGGCAATAGAGAGATCCTCACCACCGTCATCATCATCGTCAATCTGCCACGCGAAATGGGTTTCTTTGTCATTCGTGCTTGTAGCGCGCGCAACACATTGTCGCAATCACTACTACCGGCACCAGTTTCCCTCGATGAAGTTCAACAGGACTGTACTATTCGCGTCTGTGATCCCTTAGTGTACTACGGAGACCTAACCTAACTTTTTTACACGAGATATCCACTCCTCGCGGCATCTTGATTCCCATCTTCGTCGAAGCGCTGAATCTGATGCTACTCCCAAAAGGATATTTTTCCTGCTAATATCACCTGCTTCATGCAGTTGGACTTTTTGCACCTGCGTTTACTGCTCTAGTACCGCTGTTGCTGCTGTTGTTGTATGAAACTCCCGCATCATAGCATACTAGTTTTCAGTCTCGCAAGCGATTTGATAGAAGCATCATGGCGTCTTCGCGCGGCGCGGCTGTGTCACGGCGTTCTAGCCTCGTGCTCGCTGCATTGGCTGCTCTCATGCTCTCAGGTGTGCGCTCATGCTATCAGATGATGCACACTCAGCTATGCTCTCATATGCTCTCAGCTAGCTCTTATATCCTCTCAGCTCTCAGCTATGCTCTCATATGCTCTCAGCTAGCTCTTATATGCTCTCAGCTCTCAGCTATGCTCTCATATGCTCTCAGCTAGCTCTTATATGCTCTCAGCTCCCAGCTATGCTCTCATATGCTCTCAGCTAGCTCTTATATGCTCTCAGCTCTCAGCTATGCTCTCATATGCTCTCAGCTAGCTCTTATATGCTCTCAGCTCTCAGCTATGCTCTCATATGCTCTCAGCTAGCTCTTATATGCTCTCAGCTCTCAGCTATGCTCTCATATGCTCTCAGCTAGCTCTTATATGCTCTCAGCTCTCAGCTATGCTCTCATATGCTCTCAGCTAGCTCTAATATGCTCTCAGCTCTCAGCTATGCTCTCATATGCTCTCAGCTAGCTCTTATATGCTCTCAGCTCTCAGCTATGCTCTCATATGCTCTCAGCTAGCTCTTATATGCTCTCAGCTCTCACTGCCATGCTCTCAGCTCTCAGCCATGCTCTTAGCTCTTAGCCATGCTCTCGACAGCTGCTGCCTTTCGTCCGTCATCGAGTAATAACCCACTGCTTCCATCATCCTCCTCCCGTCCTTGGGCCGCCTTCCTTCCCTTCTCATTTCTCCCTCTCCTTCCCCCCCCCCCCCCCCCCCCTCCCCCTCCCACATTTCTGCCCCACCCGCTCACAGCATGTGTGACCAAGGCTGCTGCCTTCTTCCCCAGCATCTGCGCAGATCACTGCTATAGGCGTGAGCTGCTCTTTTGGCCTCACTTCCAACCTTTTTCATCTCAAACTCCTTCCTTTGCTCTACCTCCCTCCTCTCCCCCCCCCCACCACTCTCCATCCGACCCGCCGCCCCTCCTGTCCCTTTCCCCATCCGCTCTCAGCATGTGCGCCCAGGGTGCATCTTCTTTGCCTTCTCACCCCAATCCTCCAACCTCTCTCCTCTTCGCCTGACCCCTTCCCCTCTCCCCCTCCCGCTCTCAGCATGTGCGCCCAGGGTGTATCTTCCTTTCCTTGCCTCCTTATCCCAGTCCGCCTTCCTCTATTTACCATTCCCCTTCTCCTGTCCCCTTCCCCTCTCCCCCACCCACCCGCTCTCAGCATGTGCGCCCAGGTGTATCTTCCTTTCCTTGCCTCCTCATCCCAATCCTCCTTCCTCTCTTTCCTATTCATCTTCGCCTGACCCCTTCCCTTTCCCCCATCCGCTCTCAGGCTGGGCGCTCAGGGCTACCGCTGTTCGCCTGCCAGCTGCGAGTAACGCTCCCGACCGTAAGTCAGCAGCCTATAGTATTCACGACCACTACCAGGGCCTGAAACGTGACAGTTAGGGCCTGCTGAAACGCACCATGGCCCGTATCCTTGCCCTCAATCCCCCAAGGTTGTCAGCTGCGAGTAACGCTGCCAGCCGTAAGTCAGCAGCATAGCTAGCTAGTAACGCTGCGAGTAACGCAGCCTCTCGTAGTCACCACCACCACCAGGGCCTGAGACGCGACGCAACAACAGCTAGTGCCTGCTGAAACGCAACCATGCCCTCCAAGGGTGTGAAGCAAGGTGGAAAAAAACGGTTGCGAAAAAAAACTATTGAAAAGAACGATTGATTTTTTCGGTCCTGTTTGGGAAAAAAACGTTGTTTTTTTGTTAGGCCCAAAAAAAAAACACACAAAAAAAAACCCAAAATAAATCCCCTGCCACCAATCTGATCACAACAGGTCGGAATCTGGCACACTCTGCACGTGCGGGAAGGCTGAATATGTGTGGGTGATTGGTTCAAGCCACGACTTCCACCAATCCTGTGTGCTACGTTGCCATAACCCAAAAAAACGATCGTTTTTTTGCACCCAAATTTATTGAATTAATTTTATCGTTTTTATCCGTTTTAAACGATGGTACGGTACGATATCGAAAATAACGACAAAAAAATGAAAAAAAACGTCGTTTTTTTGCACCTTGGTGTGAAGCGATATTTTTTTGCACCTTGATACCTAGTGCTCTTTCCAGCCACCCCCCCCTGTCCCTCCACAATCCATTTCTCCCTTCTATCTCGTTCACACGTGAGTTTTTCCAGTCTCGTGTATCACACGTAAGTTTCTTTCGTCCACACGTAAGTTTCTTTCGTCCACACGTACGTTTCTAGTAAGAAGGTCCTTAGTAGTATGTGAGGTGGCTGGTCGTTCCTTCCCACTGCTTTTTGCTCTCTCCGTTTCCCCTATCCATTCTCCATCGCGCTTTCCTGTTCCTATCCTTCTCTGTTCTCCCCTCCTCGTCCCTGTTTCCTCTGCTCGTTCCTTTTTCCCTCTCCTCCTCTGTTCCTCTCTGATCCATCCCTCTGTCTGGATCCTCTCTCCCTCTCTGCTCCCTTTGAACAAGCATGCGCCAGACTCGTGTGTGCAGAGGAAGTGTGGCGCCAATGCGGTGTGCGTGAAGGAGAGGGGCGATACCATATGCATCTGCAACGTTGGATTCTCCATGACCCCCGCCGGCTGTGTTGGTGAGCGAGTGCTGTTAAAGTGGTGTTGGATGCTTCATGGGGTTGAGTGCTGCTGTGCTGTTCTGATACAGATCTGTGATTTTGAATTAATAGGTAATTTCGCCCCGTGCCTTTACTCACTAAGTTAGAGGGGTCGTTTACCCTTCGTGTACATTGGCAGTCATGTACTACGTCAGTCAGTCCTTATCCTCTCCTCACATGCACTACTCGAATCACTTTTTGGAATTCTGAGAATGTAAATCTGCTGTAATTTATTACACCAGTCATTCTTACTCTCTCCTCTCTCCTCTCCCCCCTCCCCTCTCCCTTGCCCTTCGCCCAGACACATGCGTGCTCAAGGCGTGTGGAGGCAACGCCACGTGCATCAAGGACAGTGCTGGAGTGGCATCCTGTGTTTGTCGCTCTGGCTTTGTGCTGCAGGCTGACAAGAGGACGTGCACTGGTATGTGCTGCTGCTGTGTGTGTACGTGTGCATGTGCTTCTATGTGCCTCAGCGTGCATGTACTGCAGGCTGACAAGAGAACGTGCACTGGTGGGTGCTGTGCGGAATGCACTGCTTGGTATGTATGTGCTGCTGCATACGACCAAGAAGACAGCAATTCGGTTAGGGTGAGCAATGGACTTTTGAGACGTCTCAAAAGTATGTATGTGTTGCTGCATACGGCTAAGAAGACAGCGATTAGGTTAGGGGTGAGCAATGGGTCGGGTCGACCCAATTGACCCAACCTGGTTTCGCGCTGGCCGGGTTGGGTCAGACTGAGGATTTTCCCAACCGAACCTGGTTACGCTCAGGATTTACCCGACCCGGCCCAGGTCAAAGGGGTCGGATCGGCGTACACAGGGTCAGGTCGACCTACTGGCAGATCCCGGCCCGAGAGCCAGGTTGGGTCGGGAAGGGACGAGTCGGGTCGGGTCGGGTCGGGTCGGTTCGGGACGGGACGGAACGGGACGGGACGGGACGGGTCGTCAGGTCGGGTCGGGTCGGGTCGGGTCGGGTCGGGTCGGGTCGGGTCGGGTCGGGTCGGGTCGGGTCGGGTCGGGAAGGGTCGGGTCGGGTCGGGTCGGGTCGGGTCGGGTCGGGTCAGGTCGGGTTGAGCTTACCAGAGTGAAGTGACCTGAGGCGAAAACTCCGGGTTGGGTTGGGTTGACCTGTCCCAGCCAACCTGACCCGGTGCTCATGCCTATGGTATTCCGTGCGTTATGCTGATGACTTTTGAGTCGACTCATTAGTCAACTGACCCGGTGCTCATGCCTATGGTGTTCCGTGCGTTATGCCGATGTCATCCATTGCTGTTGCTTTACGCACGCTGCCCTTCCTACTCACTGTCCCCTCTGCCCCTCCCCCTTTCTTGCAGACACGTGTGTGCTCAAGAAGTGTGGGAGTAACGCCAAGTGCGTGAAGAGTGCTGCAGGAGTGGCGTCCTGCGTGTGTGACACTGGCTTCGTGCTGCAGGCTGACAAGACTACATGCACTGGTGCGTGTGTGCTGACGTGTGATTGCAAAGCGACAGTCATGTAGTTCCCCGAGGCTATCTCTCACGTAATGCATGTTTTTTTTTGCCTCTTTTGCCGATTCGTCAAACACTTACTACCTTCTACACTCTCTCTGCTTCGTTCCTTAACTCTTTAAGTAGGGCTTGCCTTCCCCACTCACTATCATGCCTTTCTACCCTTTCCCTTGGCAGACACGTGTGTGCTCAAGAAGTGTGGGAGTAACGCCAAGTGCGTGAAGAGCGCTGCAGGAGTGGCGTCCTGTGTGTGTGACACTGGCTTCGTGCTGCAGCCTGATGGCGTCACGTGCACCGGTATGTGCCATGCCATGCCATGTGAACAATGCCTCGTCCAATACTGCGCTGTGCCATGTGTTATCGCCATGGCAATGCCATTCAGTATGGGCTAAGCTATGTTCTATGCCATGCCATGCCTTGTGCTATGCCATGCCTTGTGCTATGCCATGCCTTGTGCTATGCCATGCCTTGTGCTATGCCATGTGCCCTGCCATATGTGCTGGTAAGTGCTGCAACCGGGAACCTTGGTTGCCTTGCCCCCCTGCCCCCCATCCACCCAGACACATGCTTTTTCAAGGCGTGTGGAGGCAACGCCACGTGCATCAAGGACAGTGCTGGAGTGGCGTCCTGTGTTTGTGGCGCTGGCTTTGTGCTGCAGGCTGATGGCAGGACGTGCATTGGTGGGTGCTGTGCCATGCCTACTCAATGCCATGTGATTTGCTATGTGCCATGTGATTTGCTATGTGCCATGTGATTTGCTATGTGCCATGTGATTTGCTATGTGCCATGTGATTTGCTATGTGCCATGCCATGTGCCATTTGCTATGCTGTGGCGTACTGTGTTTGTAACTCTGGCTTCGTCCTGCAGGCTGATGGCAGGACGTGCACTGGTGGGTTCTTTGCCTTGCTACATGCTGACATCATGCCATGTGCTTCCACATGCTGCCATGTGTTCTGGTGCACTGATGACAGGATGTGCGCGCGCACTAGTGCCTGCTGCTGTGTGCTTATGCTTGTATGCGCTGCAATGCTCTGATTGAAACTTGTGCAAGCTGTGTTCCTGAATCCTGATGGCATGTACTGCTGTGCTGTGCTTCTCCTATGGCCCCCCTTCTCCCGTCTCTTCCAACCCCCCCTATGGCATGTTCCTATGCTGTGCTCCATGGCAAAGCAAGCCAAACCTCTGTTCCTGGCAATCCTTATACCCGAAACCCCAGTTCTGTAAGAAATAGCACTCTCCGTTCACATGTTATTCTCCTTCCTCACTCTCTTCCCCCTCCCAGATACATGCGCACTCAAGGCCTGTGGTGTGAACCTAAGTTGGGCACTTACGTTTTTCGAGGTCTCGTAAACGTCAATTTCGCGAAATTTTACGTTTTCGTTTACGAACGTTAACTTTCGCGTAAGTCTTTCGAGTCCGTGAAAGTTTCAGATTCAGCGTTGACTAGTAGGAAAGGAATACGATAGGATATGAACGAGCTGGTAGGTTGACGTCGAACAAGATAGCAAATTAAGGAATTAGGTGGGAGGGAGATGACCGTGTTGTGTTAGGGAGGGGGAGCTGGGGGGAGGGGGGGGGGGGAGGAGGAGGAAGGGGAGGGGGAAGGGGAGGAGGAGGAGAAGGAGGAGGAGGAGGAGGAGGAGGAGGAGGAGGAGGAGGAGGAGGAGGAGGAGGAGGAGGAGGAGGAGGAGGAGGAGGAGGAGGAGGAGGATTTTATGTTTAGGGTATTATTGTTTCTTCAACATTGACATGATGCCTACAGAATGAGTCTCCCTAGTACTCTGGTAATGTTTTTCCTCGGGCAGACCTAAAAAAGTTTTCAGGTGACCGTAAACGTAAGGCCGAATCCAGGCAACCGTTCGTAAACGTAAAAAACGTCGTAAATAAACGAAAACGTAACAGACCGTAAACGTAAGATCCAACTTAGGTGTGAACGGGTGGTGCATGAAGTTTGGCACTACTAAAGTGGCGTCCTGTCTGTGTTACACTGGCTTTGAGCTGCAGCCGGATGGCAAGACGTGCACTGGTACGTGCTGCTGTTATGTTCTTCGCCTTGCCTCTGTTTCTCTCCTCTCCCCCTTCCCATCTCCTCTTCAACTCCCTCCATTCTCACCCGCCCACCCACCCCCTTTCCACTCCCAAGTCTATTCCAAAAGCCACCTCCTTCCAAAAGTTCATTCTAAATTTTCGAGGCCAGATGAAAGCAACCTCCTTCCCAATCGTTGTTCACGCTAACACCCGTTCTTTTTTTAGTTTCTTGTATGCTCTTCTTGGCCCGGTTTGAGGCGTCTTCAAGAAATGTGAGCCGTTGTCCCGATCCGATGTGTGTGCCTTGTGGTGCCATCCATGTGGTGCCATCCATGTGGTGCCATCCATGTGGTGCCATCCATGTGGTGCCATCCATGTGGTGCCATCCATGTGGTGCCATCCATGTGGTGCCATCCATGTGGTGCCATCCATGTGGTACCATCCATGTGGTGCCATGTTCCTCTCCCTCCATCTCCCCTCCATCCTTCCCTTCAGATACCTGTGCCATTCAGGGCGGCGACGCTACAGTTTCTGAGTGCGTGAAGGACGCTGCTGACTTTTGAGTCAACTCAAAAGTCATTCCTCACTCCCCCCCCCTCCATCCTTCCCTCAGATACCTGCGACAGTCAGGGCTGCGACGTTACGGTTGTGTGAAGGACGGTGCAGGCGTGGCCTCCTGTGTTTGCAAGACAGGCTATCGGAATGTGTTGGGCACGTGTGTGGGTACGTACAGGTGGTATTGATTGACGCACACATGGCATTGACTGACCTGACGTACAGGTGGCATTGACTGACGTGCAGGTGGCATTGACTGACGTACAGTGATTGAGTGAACGAATACGTTAGGATGACCTTTGCTGCATGCATCGCTTTTTCTGTTTTCTACGCCTTTATTTCATTCAATCCTGTACACCCTCCTTGTATGTGTTCATTCAGATAAGATAAATACACTACCTTTGAGGCCACAATGACCTTTTGCGAGTTGCGTGTGGCTCAACTTTGTGCTTTGCTCTGTGCTCAAAATAACCCCATTCGCATCACATCACCCACTCCTTTGCTTCAACAAACAAAACAAGCTCCATCACTATACAGCCCCTCGCTCTCATCCCTCACACTCCCAATCCACCATAAAGGTTCTAGAAAAGACAAAATCGTTCTCCACTGCCTTCTTCCTAATCCACACTCCCTCCACTTTCCTTTCCATCTCTCCATCCTCTCTCCTTCCCTATCTGTCCAGGCATCGACCCATGTGGGGGCTGCCCTGCAGGACCAACATGCACTGTTGCTGCCACTTTTGAGTCGACTCAAAAGTCACCTCATCTCATCCATCCTCTCTCTCTCCTTCCCATCTGTCCAGGCATCGACCCATGTGGGGGCTGCCCTGCAGGAGCCACGTGCACTGCCACTGCCTCTGGGAACGTTCCATACTGCATGTGCCCTCCCGGCTATGGCATGACTAGCACTGGCTGCATCAGCGGTAAGCCCCATGTTGTTTGCAATCCAGTCATCATGACCCAATGTTGTTTGTAGTCTCGCTGTGACCAACGCTGGTGTTTATAACAATGTCTGAATATGTACCCGTTTCTTACTCCCTGCCCACCCCAATCCACCCGTGTTACCCTATGGGCGAGTCACAGCCTTTCCTTGGCCACCCTTCACGTTCCACCTCCCTGTGTTCCTCTCCTCTCCCCTCCCTTGCAGGCGCCACCCCCACCGTCTCTTCCACCAGCATCACCTTCTACGATCAGACCAACTACACCGTCACTTTCAACACCTACACAATGCGACTCAACTTCAACGCCTGCACCACCCTCCCTCCTATCACCGTTGAGGCCACGCGAGCGATTCTGCGAGCGGACAGGGTGCCTGGGGGGGCGAGGGACTGTGCTGCTGTGTACGCGTTCCCGTGGAGCAGCTGGTGCATTGGTCCCAAGACAACGCTTCGCCCTCCAGTTAATGGAACAGGCGGGTCGATGTGAGTGCGTCGATGGGTTGTTGTGGGCAGGATGGGGTGGTGCGAGGCGAGTGATTGGGAATCAGGAGAAGCAGGGGGTTTGTGCTGCTGCTGTGTATGCATTCATACTCCTGGAGTGCTTCGCCCTCCGGCTAATGGAACGGGCAGGGCGATGTGAGTGAGTTGATGGTTTCTTGTGGGCATGGTGGTGTGAATGAGACAGGGTGATGTAAGAATCTGGAGGGGCAGGAGGGATGTGCTGCTGCTGTGTACACGTTCCCTGGAGCGGCTGGTGCATTGGTCCCAAGACGGCGCTTCGCCCTCCAGTTAATAAAACGGGCGGGTCGATGTGAGTTGGTTTAGTTCGGGAAGAAGGGTGTGAGAGGGGCGGGTGGGTGTGAGTGAGAAGAGGGTGGGTGCGAGTGAGAGAAGGGTGGGTGCGAGTGAGAGGCAGGTGGGTGTGAGTGAGAGGCGGATGGGTGTGAGAGCGGCGGATGGGTGTGAGAGAGAGGAGGGTGGGTGCGAGTGATAGGAGGGCGGGTGCGAGTGAGAGGAGGGTGGGTGCGAGTGAGAGGCGGTGGGTGTGAGTGAGAGGGGCGGATGGGTGTGAGAGGGCGGATGGGTGTGAGAGGGGCGGATGGATGTGAGAGGGGCGGGTGGGTGTGAGTGAGAGGTGGGTGTGAGTGAGAGGCGGGTGGGTGTGAGAAGGAGTGCGCACGCACACATGACCCACATCACACATGGAAAAATATGATTTTCCTTTAAACGGCACACATGTTGAAATGAAATGGACATGGAAGGGCGTTTTTCTGGTTTCCTTCAGAATATGATCAAACCGTTTGGTTGGTCAAACAAGTCGTTCCTTATCCAATCGGCTTGATGGTCTGTGCATTCGGGCACGCATGGATCCTTGGGTTATTCTCTGTATCCGTTTCCTTACTGCTCGCTTGCTTGAGTCCGCGTTTTCCTCTCCCACGGCTAATATTTTGAATATTCCTACAACTCTTATTTTTTTAGAGTCTGTTTGTTAGGCGCCTCAAAACTAATTTCATCACTGCCTGCCTGTTTGTGTGTTCTTTTTCCTCGCCTACAGCTATTATTTCGGATATCCGTACAGCTCCTTCAGCTGCGTTGCTGCTGGTGAGTTCTGGCTGTGTTGGTGGGTGCTGCTGCTTTCCAAATTTCTTGTTATTGCAAGTGCACGTCAAACAGCACAGTTTCTCACATTGCACGTCAAACAGGTTACAGCACAGTTTCCTTTTGAGACGTCTCAAAAGTGCTGCTGTGTTGGTGAGTACGGCTGCTTTCACAGCTCTCATGATCGCAAGTGCACTTCAGACCGCACAGGTCCCACCTGCAATGTTCTTACTGTAGCGGCGTGACTTTTTTGTCGACGCAAAAGTCACCTTTTCACCGATCTTGTTTAAGTGCACTTCAAACTGCCCAATTCCCTCCTGCAATCTCGTAGTTATGACTCCCGTTCTTCTCACATGTGTCGCATGTCACCCGCTGCTGGCTACTACTACAACAATCTCTTTTGAGGCACCTCAGCAAACTCCCGTTCTGCTCACATGTCACATGTCACCTGCGCTGCTGCTGCTGCAATGTCATACCACACCACACCAAGTGCACAGACACCCAAAGCGAAATTTCATCCTGGAAATTTTTTCAATCTCTTTCCCTCACAGATTCATGTGCAACCAAGAGCTGTGGAGGCAACGGCACGTGCGTTGCGGACATTAGCGGAGTGGTTTTTGAGACGCCTGTGAAGAAAACCATCCCGGAATTCCCTTTACTCTCTTTTCCTCACAGAGTCATGTGCAACCAAGAGCTGTGGAGGCAACGGCACGTGCATGGAGGATAGTGCTGGGGTTGCCTCCTGTGTTTGTAACGCTGGGTTTCTGCTGCAACCTGACGGCACCACATGCACTGGTATGTGGTTCTGTGCGGTACTATGTGATTCTATGTGGTGCTCTGTGGTGTTGTGTGGTGCTGTGCGCTATTGTCTGTCTGCACCTGGGGTTGCCTCCTGTGTCTGTAATGCTGGGTTTCTCCTGCAATCTGACGGCACCACGTGCACTGGTATGTGCTGCTGTGTGGTTCTGTGAGGTGCTCTGTAGTTTTGTGTGGTGGTGTGAGTTCTGTGTAGTGCTGTGTGGTGCTGTGTGGTCCTGTGTGGTGCTGTGCGGTGCTGTATGGTGCTGCGTGGTGCTGTGTGGTGCTGTGCGCCGCTGTCTGCAACTGTGGATCATGCTTTCTCATGCTCCCTCCCTTACGTCCACTCCCACGTTCTCTCTCATCCTTCTTCCCATCCATTTGCTCAGTCTCTTTCCCTCCCCTTCTTTCCATCCATTTTCTCAATCTCTTTCCCTCCTCTTCTTCCCATCCATTTGCTCAATCTCTTTCCCTCCTCTTCTTTCCATCCATTTTCTCAATCTCTTTCCCTCCTCTTCTTCCCATCCATTTGCTCAATCTCTTTCCCTCCTCTTCTTTCCATCCATTTTCTCAATCTCTTTCCCTCCTCTTCTTCCCATCCATTTTCTCAGTCTCTTTCCCTCTCACTCATGTGTGCCTCTTCTTCCCATACCCTCCCAAACCCCCATGTCCGGTCCAGATCTCCGTTCCATGTCAGTACCAAGAATTTCTTCTTGCCATTCTTTTGTCCTCCCGCAGAAGCGTGTGGGACCAAGATCCCAAGTCAACTCTTCTCTTGGTGTTCCCTTCGTACCACTCCTGTCTAATCTCCCGCAGAGCAAAGGCGTGTGGGTCCAAGATCCAAATTCACCTCTTATCTTGGTGTTCTCTTCATACTACTCCCATCTAATCTCCCTCAGAGGCGCGTGGGTCCAAGATTTGAAGTCATCTCTTATCTTGGTGTTCCCTTCGTACCACTCCCGTCTAATCTCCTTCAGAGGCGTGTGGGACCAAGATCTGCGATCCCACGACTGTTCATTCCCCTCTGCCCTCTTTGTTGCTCTTGACTTAATGTTGTGTCCGTTCCACAACCTTTCGATTGCCTCCCACAGAGGCGTGTGGGACCAAGATCTGCGATCCCACGACTGTTCATTCCCCTCTGCCCTCTTTGTTGCTCTTGACTTAATCTTGTGTCCGTTCCACAACCTTTCGATTGCCTCCCGCAGAGGCGTGTGGGACCAAGATCTGCGATCCCACGACTGTTCATTCCCCTCTGCCCTCTTTGTTGCTCTTGACTTAATCTTGTGTCCGTTCCACAACCTTTCGATTGCCTCCCGCAGAGGCGTGTGGGACCAAGATCTGCGATCCCACGACTGTTCATTCCCCTCTGCCCTCTTTGTTGCTCTTGACTTAATCTTGTGTCCGTTCCACAACCTTTCGATTGCCTCCCGCAGAGGCGTGTGGGACCAAGATCTGCGATCCCACGACTGACTGTGTGAGGGACGCTGCAGGCGGTGCATCCTGTGTGTGCAAGGCGGGCTATCAGAGCATCTCCGGCAAATGTGTTGGTACGTGCTGGTGCAGTCTTTTTTAGTCCACTCAAAATAGGCTATCAGAGCACCTCCGGCAAATGTGTCGGTACGGTCAGGTCATATTAGCGGTGTAATCTGGTAAGGCGTTCATTCGTGTGCGTGTGCGTGTGTTTGTTCGTCTTTGTGCTGCGGCATTCGTGTTGGTGTAGGGGTGTCGGTCAACTCGGATGCCGCGCTGGTGTTTTGTCGAGAGCTCTGTGCTCCTCTGCTGCTCCATGTTGGTGTTTGTTGTTCCATCTTGTGCTATAATATGCTTTGCCAGGGTGTGTTGTGATGTGATGTTTCACCTTTTGCACTCTTCCTCATCTCTTCTCCTTCCCCGCCTCCCCAGGCCCCGTCACATGTGGAGACTGCCCTACACGAGCCACCTGCACCGTTTCTTTGTTTTTTTGTCGTGCTGTGTCGTGAATATTGGTTTTCTCCCTTTTCCTTATCTGGTCTCTTTCTTTCATCTCCTTGCTCCTCCTCATCTCCTCCCTTTCTTAATCTCCTCCCTCTTCCCACCTCCCCAGGCCCTACCACATGTGGGAGCTGCCCTACAGGAGCCACATGCACGGTTACTTCTAGCAATGTGCCGTACTGCATCTGTCCTCCCGGCTATGGCATGGGGTACTCGTCTTGCATCAGCGGTAAGGTCATGCCTCTAAATCATGGCACGGGCTTCCAATAATGGCAGGGGCTTCCAATAATGGCATGGAATTCCAACAATGGCATGGGCTTTCACATTTGGCATGTCCTTTCAATTGTGGCCTAGCCTTCTGACTGTGGCATGTCCTTTCTTCAAACTGTGGCATGTCCTTTCTTCCGACTGTGGCATGTCCTTTCTTCAAACTGTGGCATGTCCTTTCTTCCGACTGTGGCATATCCTTTTGTGACATGTCTATCCAATTGTGGCATGTCTTTCGAACTGTCCAATTGTGGCATATCATTTTGTGGCATGTCTTTCCGATTGTGGCATGTCTATCCAACTGTGGCATGTCTATCCAATTGTGGCATGTCGATCTAATTGTGGATGTCTATCCAATTGTGGCATGTCTGTCTACCCAATTGTGGCATGTCTATCTAGTTGTGGCATGTCTATCCGATTGTGGCATGTCTTTCCAATTGTGGCATGTCTATCAATCGTGGCATGTCTTTCCAAATGTGGCATGTCTATCCAATTGTGGCGTGTGCGGAGAGTTACCTTTACATCGGAAACATGACTACGGAGGAAGGCACGGGTTCTAGGAGTGATCGTAGCGTTCTTTAGTGTTCTCTAGCACTTGCGCGTTTACAGGGCAAAACCGCGAAGTTTTACTTGCAAAAGTTGAGAACATTAATGGTAGTTATAGTGGCAAAGCTGACTACATCAGAAGTAAGTCTGCCTAGCATGCAAGCAAGTCGACTTCCAGCGTAGCAAGGTTGACCGCGTTCTAGCACTGCAAAGTCCGCACCGCTCCAGCGCTGCAAAAAGGAGGCTTGCCAACACTGCAAGTCGACGGCGTGCCAACGCTGCAGCAAGGCTGTCTAGCCTTGCTCCCGCGGATGACAGCAGCGCACCTACTTCGCAGGTGCTCGTAGTCGGTTGGCGCAACATGCACCGTTACGTGCATAGTGCAGGTGACAAATCGGTCACGTGCCGTTGGCGGCGCCTAATGAGCCACGTCGACATTGGGGTACCACTCTGAGGTCGGTTTCGCCAGAACCACCTGGGCGACGGTCGCACGCCCCGCAAAACCTCGTCGCCTTGGTTACATGGTCGACCTGGAAACCACCAGGTCAGCGTCCACTTGCTCGGTAGAAATTGACCTACAGTTGTACGTGCTTGTCGACCACCCAGGTCGACGGCCACCAGCCGATTTCACCAAGTCAACCACTCCACAAGTCGACCAACTCCGGGGCGACCAGACTGGCTGCTCGCCAACTGCACCGAGTCACCTTCCCCATGTCGGCGTTACCAAGTCGACGCCCCTCTCTGGTCGACGACTCCCTTCGTCAACTACCGGGTTGAAGTTGGCCGCCGGCCCTCGTCGTCGGCGGCTTCGCACTGGCCTCGTGCAGGTCGACTAACTCTGTCGACCTGCTCGCCCAAGTCGGCGTCGCCCACTGCAGTCAGTCGGCTGCACTTACCGCGCACCCGACCACAAAGTCGGCTCTGTCCAAGTGAGGACGAGGCCAACACCCAACTCCCGTTAACAGCATGTCTATCGAATTATGGCATGCTACTCAAGTATTCGCCCCAATGCCTCCTCCACCAGTATCACCTTCTACGATTAGCCCAACTACACCATCACGTCCAACATCTTCACCATGCATGTGTATAAATCAGCTGTCTTCCTCATATCCCCCTCCCCTTGCAGGCGCCACCCCCACTGCCTCCTCCACCAGCATCACCTTCTACGATCAGACCAACCACACCATCACTCCCACCACCTACACCGTGCGCCTGCCATACAACTCCTGCAGAAGCATCCCTGCAGCCGTTGCCGAGCGCGCCTTGTCTCTCTGGCGTGTGAATGGGGTTCCGGGTGGTGCGGGTAACTGTGCATCGGTGTATGGTTACACTCGGGAGAGCTGCCAGGGGCCTCCCACGTGGCTGCCTTGCCTCGAATGGGACCGGAATCATTGCAGAAGGAGTCATGTGAGTGTGGGGGGATCACAGCTTTTGTTGAGTTTACTGACTCAGAGGTCACTGCGACTCGGTGTATGGTTACACTCGGGATAGCTGCCAGGGGCCTGCCACGTGGCTGCCAATCGCTTCCAATGGGACCGGGATCACCGCAACGGGGTCAAGGTGAGTCATGGCTTCTATGATTGGCCCCCTCGTTACTCCCCGCCCCAATTCCTGTGCGGGCATGTCTCCCATGCCCACACCACCAACTCCTCTTCGTTGAGATTGCATTACTTCTCAAATGGTCCTACATTAGGTAAATAGCATGTTATACAGCATTCCTTCTCTGTCTCTCCCCTTCCCCATGCACGTTTTCTCCTCTCCCCCTCTGCCCCTCTGGCTTGCCCCCAATGCCTGTTTGTGCATGTCTCTCCCACCCCATCCACCAGTGACTATTCTCCAGTGGGGTCGTACCCTTACCACTCCTTCAGCTGTGTCCCTGTCGGTGAGTGTTGTGGTGTTGGCGGGTAATGCGGTGCTGCTGTGACGGTGAGTGAGTAATGCAGTACTGCTGTATTGGTGGGTGCATGTCTCCCCCACCCCACCCATCAGCGACAACTCTCCAGTGGGGTCGTACCCTTACCACTCCTTCAGCTGTGTCCCCATTGGTAAGTGCCAACAGTGTTTCTGAGTAATATGCTGCTGCTTTGATGGGTGCCGCTGTGATGGCTTTTGAGGCGTCTTAAAAATCTCCCACCCACCCCAACCACCAGCAACAACTACTCTCCTGTGGGGTCGTACCCTTACCACTCCCTCAGCTGTGTCCCTGTTGGTAATTATTTTGGTGTGGTGTTGGCGAGTAATGAGGTGCTGCTGGCCTTACAACCCCCTCTCCCCTTTCCCGTTCCGTTCATGCATAACCACCCTCCCAGGTCCCTGTGTGGTGAAGGTCTGGGGCGCCAACAGCACATGCGTTGTGAACAGCAGTGGGGTAGCATCCTGTGTCCCTTCCCACACTCCCTCCTCTTTCACACTCGCCTAACTTCCCTCCATCACCCCCTTCCCTCCCAGGTCCCTGTGCGGTCAAGGCCTGCAGCGCCAACAGCACGTGCGTTGTGAACAGCGGCGGAGTGGCGTCCTGTGTGTGTGACCCAGGCTTCGTGCTGCAGGCCAATGGCAGGACGTGCATTGGTGGGTGCAATGCCTTGTGAAATTCCATGTTCCATGTTATGGGTTGCCCTCACACAGAGCACTGCAGGTGTGGCGTCCTGTGTGTGTGACTCTGACTTCGTGTGCTGCCATGTGTTGCTGTGTGCGTGCTCTTTCATGTGCTGCTTTGTTCTTCCCCTTGCATCAGAAATCGCCATGACTTTTGAAGCATCAAACAAAACTCCAACCTTCCACGCACCCACCCTTCCACGCCTTCCCCACTTGCAGAGCCGTTCTCTATCTGTGACGGCAACCATGCATGTGTGAAGGACGCTGCTTTTTTATAACTGACTCAAAAGCCCCTTACTTCGTCCCCCCCTCTCTCACACCTCCCCCCTGCAGAGCCGTGCTCTATCTGTGACGGCAACCATGCATGTGTGAAGGACGCTGCTTTTTTATAACTGACTCAAAAGCCCCTTACTTCGTCCCCCCCTCTCTCACACCTCCCCCCTGCAGAGCCGTGCTCTATCTGTGACGGCAACCATGCATGTGTGAAGGACGCTGCATTTCTATAACTGACTCAAAAGCCCCTTACTTCGTGCCCCCCTCTCTCACACCTCCCCCCTGCAGAGCCGTGCTCTATCTGTGACGGCAACCATGCATGTGTGAAGGACGCTGCATTTCTATAACTGACTCAAAAGCCCCTTACTTTGTGCCCCCCTCTCTCACACCTCCCCCCTGCAGAGCCGTGCTCTATCTGTGACGGCAACCATGCATGTGTGAAGGACGCTGCATTTCTATAACTGACTCCAAAGCCCCTTACTTCGTCCCCCCCTCTCTCACACCTCCCCCCTGCAGAGCCGTGCTCTATCTGTGACGGCAACCATGCATGTGTGAAGGACGCTGCATTTCTATAACCGACTCAAAAGCCCCTTACTTCGTGCCCCCCTCTCTCACACCTCCCCCCTGCAGAGCCGTGCTCTATCTGTGACGGCAACCATGCATGTGTGAAGGACGCTGCATTTCTATAACTGACTCAAAAGCCCCTTACTTCGTCCCCCCCTCTCTCACACCTCCCCCCTGCAGAGCCGTGCTCTATCTGTGACGGCAACCATGCATGTGTGAAGGACGCTGCATTTCTATAACTGACTCAAAAGCCCCTTACTTCGTGCCCCCCTCTCTCACACCTCCCCCCTGCAGAGCCGTGCTCTATCTGTGACGGCAACCATGCATGTGTGAAGGACGCTGCGGGTGCAGTGACCTGTGTGTGCAAATACGAGGTGGTGGGCGACAAGTGTGTTGGTACGTGATACTCACCTCTCACCACTTCTCACCTCTCACCACTTCTCACCTCTCACCACTTCTCACCTCTCACCAATACTCACCTCTCACCACTTCTCACCTCTCACCACTTCTCACCTTTCACCACTTCTCACCTCTCACCGCTTCTCACCTCTCACCACTTCTCACCTCTCACCACTTCTCACCTCTCTCCACTTCTCACCTCTCACCACTTCTCACCTCTCACCACTTCTCACCTCTCACCACTTCTCACCTCTCTCCACTTCTCACCTCTCACCGCTTCTCACCTCTCACCGCTTCTCACCTCTCACCACTTCTCACCTCTCACCACTTCTCACCTCTCTCCACTTCTCACCTCTCACCACTTCTCACCTCTCACCACTTCTCACCTCTCACCACTTCTCACCTCTCACCGCTTCTCACCTCTCACCACTTCTCACCTCTCACCACTTCTCACCTCTCACCGCTTCTCACCTCTCACCACTTCTCACCTCTCACCACTTCTCACCTCTCTCCACTTCTCACCTCTCACCACTTCTCACCTCTCACCACTTCTCACCTCTCACCACTTCTCACCTCTCACCGCTTCTCACCTCTCACCACTTCTCACCTCTCACCACTTCTCACCTCTCTCCACTTCTCACCTCTCACCACTTCTCACCTCTCACCACTTCTCACCTCTCACCACTTCTCACCTCTCACCGCTTCTCACCTCTCACCACTTCTCACCTCTCACCACTTCTCACCTCTCTCCACTTCTCACCTCTCACCACTTCCCACCTCTCACCACTTCTCACCTCTCGGTACGTGATTCTCACCTCTCTGGCCCTGTCTGCTGTATTATTGTCAGCTCACAACACCCCCCCCCCCCTTCCCCCCCCCCGGTCCTCTTGCCCTCCTCATGCCCTGCAGGGCCCACTCGACAGTCTGCTCTCGAATGACTGCTCTGGCCTACCGCACACACAGCACCACATCGTCAGCTCACCCCACACGATCCCCCCCTCTCTCCCCCGCTCCTCCTGCCCTCCCCACAGGCCCCCCCACGTGTGGGGCATGCCCTGCAGGTGCCACTTGATAGTCTGCTCTCTCCGAGTGTGCTGCACACTACCAGTGCTGCACTCTAACGCCCCCTTTCCCTCCCTGTTTCCTGCTCCTCCTCCCCTCCCCACAGGACCTGCCACGTGTGGGGCATGCCCTGCAGGGGCCACTTGAAAGTCTGCTATTGCACACACAACACCACATTGTCAGCTCACCAACTCACCCCCCTCCTGCTCCTCCTGCCCTCCCCACAGGACCTGCTTCGTGTGGGGCCTGCCCTGCAGGAGCTGTGTGCACGCCTCTCCCATCGACCTGGCCTTCTTACTGCATGTGCGCTCCTGGTTACGGCATGACCAGCACTGGATGCGTGCAAGGTGCGTATGTGTGAGCATACAAGAGCATGTGATGTATGCATGTGTGAGTGCAGGAGTGTGCGTTGTGTCGATGTGCCCTCCTGGTTATGGCATGACCAGCACCGGATGCATGCAAGCAACGTATGTGTGTCAGTGTAAGCCAACTGATTTGTAAGTGCATGGTATGGATGTGTGAGTGCATGGTATGGATGTGTAAGTGCATGGTATGGATGTGTAAGTGCAAGGTGCATGTGTGTGGGTGCACGGTATGTATGTGTGGGTGCACGGTATGTATGTGTGAGTGCACAGTATGTATGTGTGAGTGCAACGCAAGTGCTTGTGTTGTGTGCGTGTAGAGAGTGAGTGCAGTAGTGTGTGTGGTGTGGATACTCCCCCCTGGTCTTGATATCTGCATGCACAAGAGCATGTGCTGTGTGAATAACCTCGAGTGCAGAATGAACCCTAAACTGGTGTAAGAGCATATGTTGTTTGTATTAGCTTCCTTCTCCCCTCTGTTCCAATCCTTTTCAGGGGCCACCCCCACCGTCTCCTCCACCAGCTTCACCTTCTATGATCAGCCCAACTTCACCATAGCTCGCTTCACATCCACTATGCGGGTCCACTGGGATGGCTGCACCGACATCACTCTCCCCCGCGCCTCTGATGTCCTGTCCTACACCCGCATAGAGCCGGCCCCGGGTGGGGTGGGAAATTGCACAAATGTGTGTGCGTACTATGGGTATGGGTGTGCCGGAGCGTGCAATTCATTGTTCAGCTTGGCGGGTGCACCTCAGATCGGCGTGTGGACCATCCCGTGAGTCGCGATCTCTATTTCTTTCAGCATACGTGCACACACCCCCACAAACACGCACACACACACACACGCACATGCACACACACACCTGTTCCCCCCCACACACACATGAATGTGTGTGCGTACGATGGGTATGGGTGTGCTGCGCACACACACCACACTCGCATACATGCATGCGCGCACACACCACACACATACACACACATGCACGTACACAGACACACACACACACACACATACGCAAATGCACCACATCTATGCACACACACACACACAAACACACACACACACACACGCACACACACACACAAACACACACACACACACGCGCACGCACACACACACACACACACACACACACACACACACACACACACACGTGCACACATTAAATCTCCTTGCCTCAACAAATTTTCCATCCCAGTTCTCCCATTCTTGCTCGCACCCAATCTTAAGCAATATGTGTCCTCCGTGTGTGTTTTCTCCACTATTACAGCGAATACCTTGGGATGTTTTTCCTGTCTTTCCGCTGCATTCATTAGAAGCACCGGCTTGCTGTCTGGTAGCATAAGCTGGAAGATGATTGTGAATAGTAATGGGAAGTTTAGATCGGATGAGTGCTTGTCAGGCTTTGCCATGCTAGATCGGCACTCTTATTCTCTTCTTGCAATAACCGTAGTGGCTTGTCCAAACGTGCGCGATTTGATTACCGTATGTATATATTTCTAGTCAATTGTTGGAACACCTTAGGGTTCAATTCCAGTTTTCGCGAGTCGCATCTGCACATTTGCCCAACCTCGCGTCACAAATTGTAGATGTACCGCGACACTGCGCGACTGACTGAGAGGTACGGTTGTATGCGTTTTATTGGCTGACACAATTTGACACAAGTCATTTTTTGGCGCCGAGCAGAGATACAAAACCAGAAGGGGAGTGGTTTCAGCGGGCAGTCATGCGCGAGGGTGAGGTGCATGAAAGTGGAGTTATTATAGTTTTTAAAGACACATAGTGTTTTTCAAAATTGTGTATTGTGAAAGCGAAGCTGCTTGTACTGCACAATTGGCATCGTCCAAGCGCGCTAAACGCCTTCTCCAACTACAAAAACTGTGGGTTGGAGTTCATTTCCCTCCACCCACGTTTCTCGATTTTCAAACGGCTCAGTCAACATTCCCACCACCCACCCCAGCGTAAATCGCTTTGCTAATGCCACTTGGATAGGGTACATCGTAGCTGGTGTTATTAGTATGCACTATTTGTGTTCAATGTGGATGCAAATGTCGTAATAAGCCATTTGTAATGAGAACGATGCCAATTGATAAGAATAAGAAAGCAAGCATTTTCAATATGCACCACTTGTTCGGCTGCCCTAACAGGGCAGGTTCTTTTCCCGCTAGAAACTGGCACTTCAAGGGGCATCCAGATGCATGCGGTCGGGCTGGCCAAGAGCTTGACATTTCGGCTTGCGTGCGATTTCTTGGATGTGACGGAGCCTCGTCCAACTCGTCCGCGACTTTAGCACCTTCAACACTAACCAATGTAAAATATAGTAAAAGTCGCACTAGGGCGATACGCGTTTGTGACACAATACGTTTTATGCTGTTTCTAGGTGTCACAAATTTCAAAACATATTTGTATGTTCTTAGTTCTGCTAAGCTACAGTAAGGTGCTTAGTATAGAGTACAACCCCAATTAGGGTTTCATACTTGTATCTCCGTGTTGCTAGTCATTCATCATTTCCTTCACAGATTATTCTGACATGGTTTCAGAGCATGAAACCTGTTAAGTTTTAGGGCCCATTGATAGTTCCGCGCGCTCCTGCCTGAAGCGCCCTTGCGCTGTCCTACCCTGCTCGCACAGTGTCGCGCTTCCCTGCTGCCACGCGCGCTGCCTGCCCTAGCGCGCTCCCCTGCTGCTGCCCGCGCGTCGCGCCCTGCTGCAGCCTGCGCGCCGCGCCCAGCTGCCCCCCGCATCGCTCATTGCACCCGTAACACTTGGTATTCAGAGCCTCTTTCTTTTCGGACCGCGCATCTCCGCGCCCTAGGAAATCAACTTTTGATTTTTCACTCGAAGGGACTCACACACCTTAGCCCCTAGGAGCCGCTGTCCTCGCGTTCTCTCGTAAACGCGTGCAGCCACGACTGCGCCTAGACTAAGCCGAGCCGACGCCATTCGTGATGGCCGAGCACATCGACGTCACCATTCTCACGCAGGAGCGTCTGAACGAACTACTCGAGCAACTTCGCGAAGGCTCTGAAGAAATCGCGGCGCTGACGGCAGAACGCACGTCCCTGCAAAATGACGTCGCACGAGCACAACAAGCACAATCTCAAGCACCTGGCACTCCGGTACAGCCCGCACCACAGAGATCGCAACATGGAAGCGTGGTGCAACCCGCGAGCGCGGCCAGTGACGGCGTCGTCCGCCACGACGGAGACGACGACCACGGCACGACACACCCCGACGCGACGAATGCGGCCAGGAATCAGCCTTGGATCACGATTTCTATGCCGGCCGGCGAATCAACACTGTCGTCGCCGATGCCGCTGAAGCCGCAGCGTCCGCCATGTTTTGTTCCGAGTCAACGGGGTGGTCCTACCGTTCAGGCGTGGTTGTTCACGTTGAACGTTTTCTTTGACGCCAACTACGTCTCGGAGGATACGGCGAAAATTCGTTACGCCGTGTCGCTGCTGCGAGGACCCGCCATGGACTGGTGGCGTGTCATCGTCACGAAGCCGGTGGACTACGCGACTCTACCGACACGGGAAGGACAAACCGGACCCTGGGCGCCGTCGTATTTCGTGGAGGTGCCCAAATATCGCACGTGGGACGCGTGGTGCGCAAGTCTGCGCGCTCGGTTTGAGCCAATCGCGACTTCGATCGCGACGCGACAGAAGCTCCGCACTTGGTGCCAACTCGGTTCCGTCCAGGACTATACGAGCGGGTTTCTGGCGCTGTGTGAGCAAGTGGGTTACATGCACGACAGCGAACGCATCGACCGCTACATCGGCGGCCTAAAGCACGACATCGCTCAGGAAATCCAACTTCGCGGCGTCACCGATTTCCAGGAGATTCTCGCCATGGCGGAGAAACTCGATTTCTTCCGCCGACCGAGACCGGGGTCCTACGGAGGCAACAACTGGGGACATCGGTCTCGTGGGACGAACGAGGGCGCTACGATACGTGACGTCGCCGCGAATGCCGCTGCCGCACCGTTCAAAGGGCGCTGCTTCGCGTGCAATCGGCCGGGACACCGTAAGAGCGAATGCCCGGAAACGCTTAGGAAAAGGGGGAAGCTGAGCAGCAGAAACAGACCAAGCAGCAGGGAAACGCTGGGAGTCAGTAGCAGACGGGCCCTCTACTGACAGGTCACGCCGCTCATCTGACCCAACCGACCCTCACCGAGTGATTGTGCCGGTTCACGCAATCGACCACACCCGGCCGAATAAGGAGGGTACTACGGTAGACAGCCCCATACTGCTTAGTGGGAAAATAGGGACAGACTTAGTGAAAATATTCGTCGACGGATGAGCCAGCCACAGCCTCATCAACACGGAAACTGAAACTGGACAAATGCTTACCTGAGATCGACGCAAGACTGGTTGACGGCACGCCACTGGCGATACGGGAACGCGTAGACCGGTTTCGGATTCGATGTGGAGGTAACTTCACGATTAGCCAGGAAATGCTCGCGACAACCCTCGACGGAACCGACATTTTACTCGGTCGTGATTCGCTGCGACGACACAATCCGCGAATCGACTGGACGACGGGTGACTGCACCGTGCGAGTGAACGGTAACAACATCGCCTTACCTCGCTGGGGATCGCCTGAGTCTTCGTCGGTGCGTGTCAACGCGATCACGATGAAACGCGCCGTAGCGGCAGGAGCTGACGTGTACGCGGTTGACATTCGGGAAGCTGAGGCGGCAGACAAAGGGGGGGGTTTACAGAAACTGCTAGCCGACGTACCGGATGACCTGGCAGCACTCCTGGAGCAGTACAGTGAAATCTTCCCGGACGATCTGCCAACGGGACTGCCACCTCAGCGACCGCACGACCACAGGATAGAATTAGAACCAGGGGCACAGCCGACAGTACAGCGACAATCCCGACTGACCCAACCCGAACTGGACGAACTGGGGAAGCAGCTAGATTACATGCTCGAAAAAGAATTCATTCGCCCGAGTTCGTCACCCTTCGCAGCACCGATACTGTTCACGCCGAAGAAGGATGGGGGTTTTCGCATGTGCATAGACTACAGGGCACTAAACAGGGTTACCATAAAATCCCATTACCCCATTCCGCGAGCCGACGAACTGATCAAGCGACTGCGCACAGCCCGGGTTTTCTCGAAAATCGACCTTAGAGGAGGTTACCACCAGATTCGCCCATCCCCCTTGGATGAGCTTGTGGATATCTCCTCTGACTCCTCTGGCCCATCTGAGGGGGGTGACCCCGTCGCTGACGACACGGCGGCCACTCTCTGCTCTCCTTGCTTGGATACCCCCCTTGGTTTTCCACCTTGGCCATCTTCGCCGCCTTCGCAGCCTGCTGCTGTGGACTCTGGTGCTACTGCGGGTGGTGACACTGGTGGTGCGGGTTTTGGAGGTGCTGAGACAGGGGGTGCAGGTACTGGGGGTGCTGCGACTTCAGGTGCTGAGACTAGGGGTGCTGACACTTGGGGTGCTACGAGTCCTAGTGACAGTGGAGCCGTGGGCGACCCTACTGGAGGTCCTGGAGTTGGACAGCCTAGTCGAGTTGAGACGCTCTCACCGCAGCAGATTCGTGTGTGGATCGTTCGGCGAGGCCATCTTGGTGGTGGAGGTTACGGTGTTACCGCTTTTGGAGCTGCTGGTGCAGGAGGTACTAGAGGAGCTGGTGGTGCTGGAGGTACTAGAGGTGCTGCTGGTGCTGGAGGTGCTGGAGGTGCTACTGGTTCTGGAGGTGCTGGAGCTGCTAGTCCTGGAGGCACTGGAGGTGCTGTTGGTGCTGGAGGTGCCGGAGA